CCCATGTCTGTGGGCCAACATCGAAGCAGATCTGCAAGATACGAATTTCACACTCCTTGCCCGCTCTCTGGATCGATCGGCTGATTGCTCGTTAGCCATACACCTTAATGTGGTCGAAGAAATTCAGCCTGTTTTCGAATTACTCGGCAACTGTGCGGATAGATGGCGAATTGCGGATCTGTACATCAGCGAAGACGCCTGCCCGTTTTTGCCGCATGTCAGAGGGAATCTTCCCCGCCTAGAGCGTCTCGGCCTCGGAGGCGGTGGTACCCCAGGAATCGACATCTTCGAGATGGCCCCCAATTTGACACACGTTACATTATGTCACGGCGATGGCCCACTTCCGAAACTACCGTGGACTCAGCTGCGCGAGGTCACATATTATTCCTTCAGGCCATCATACATGTCCAACGAGGTCATGGTCAACCTTTTGGGAAGCATGTCTCGGTGTTCGAGTCACTGCGAATTCAATCTTTACGACTTCAACGTTTCACATTTCACTTTCCCCATATCCGCTCTCGCCTCGGTCCGAGTCCAATCCGACATTCCCGTCCTTCGACTCGCCCTCCTCGATGACGAGAGCGATGAACATTCTCGACAGGCTTTGGGCGAAATTCTCCGAGTCCTCACTCTGCCATGCCTTCAAGTATTCCACTTCCACTCCTCCAATCTCCGTCCGCTTTTCTGGCCGCGAGACGATTTCCTCGCCTTATCCTTGCGCTCCTCTTTCCACAATACTCTAACCAAGCTCTTCCTATATGACATGGTTATCGCCCTGAACGACCTTGTCCAGTGCTTGTCGGAGATGAAGAGTTTGCGGGAACTCTTCATCCAGGACGTCCCTGGGGACACTGGCAGTAATCGTCCAGATCACATCCTCATAACCGACAGCCTGTTCCGACGAATCGCTTGGCAGCCCGACTCATCTTGCCTTGCCCCCCATATGCATCATTTCTCCTTCGGCGCACTATTCTTGTTTGAGGACAATACCTTCATGGAATTCGTGGACTCGCGCTTGGCTTCTGGCGCGACACACGATGCTCCATTCAGGATCGAGGCATTCCGCGTGTTTGGCACACCCAGTTTCGTCAGGAATGGCCTGGGCGATACAGCTATTGCACGTATGACGGCACTGAAAAATCAGGGTCTACTTCAGTGGTCTCAGCAAGATCACGAAGACCTCCGACAGAAGTTTGCTCGACTGTTGGTCGACTGTACGTTTTTCCAATTCGCTCACCGTACCTCAACATTGATTGAATTATTCTAGTGTCCTGAATCGCGCGGCAAGACTAATGAGATCGCCAGATGGTTAGGATCTTCAATATTTACAAATTACATACTTGTGTGCACGATTCCATTTCATTTGTTGTTAGATCTCGTACTACGAGCAGTTAACCTTTCCAATTTTATTGGACGATTTTATTCAGCACCCCAATGATTCCATGAGATAGAAAAACCTCTATTTTGAGCATAACGATTTGCGAAGACTGTCAATCTCCTCGACCCCACCACTTCAGAGCCCCGATGCCATAATTGTAATCCAAGAACACTGACAACGGCTTTGATATTTCCGAATCCTTCCTGAACGCAGCGTCCATATTATTCGGAATGTCTCGTCGCGCGTGGGCGCTATGGAGCCACTGGAGCGTATAGCGCGAGTGTCAGTGTTGCTGGGGTGGAGGGATGCCGGTCGTCACGAGAATACGGTTTGGGGTCTGATTGAGAATAGGATGAGTTCCAAGTTGTGTGCGAGTAGAACCTGCGTCGATATTGGTGAAGATGCAGGCTTCATCTCGCTCAACGAGCGAACGACGTTTCGCGTATCACAAATAGGATTGGTGGTTTGGCGGTACGTCGGTGCCTGCGAGTCCATAACACAAGTGGGGAGATCTAAGTAGCGGCTCATATCAGCCCAAGCACTGAGACGAGCAGTCACATGTATGAAGTGCTTACCTTCATTGGCTTGGGCATTGTCACGTACAAAATCATACGCTCCTGCGTCGAGAGCGTCTTGGTCCGAGATGTGAACACAAGAGGAAGTTGCTGGCGCTCCACGTTGGCACTCAGAAAAACCTCACGAAAAGCAATCACGCCGTCCACTGCCAAGATACAATAGCCCAAATAATGGAGGTATTTTGTAGGATAGAGGCGTAGAGACGAGACGATGGCAATAGGGACATCCAGTTAGAGGTCACTGAGCGAGGTACAGACAGTACATCCTATTTCAGTTCTGTCTGCGAGTCGGAATTTGCCAAGAGGAGAGGGAGCGAAAAGGGCGACCGGCGTTTAAACCGGCGGCCAAACGCGAGAGGCAATTGTCTCCTAGACACCACTCCGAGGCGTTATGTCTCCGTCTCAATCACCCTATTGCGACTTCCCCGAATCCCCTCATGCGCGTCGGGGAAAGGCACCACCGCCCAACAAACTCTTGGGACAAACTCGACGAGCCGAGCTGCTGGGAGGGCTTCTCCAACAAGCACCCACGTCGCGGGTATCGTCCATCCGTGGCCTGATCTGCTTCCTGCCAAAGCCCCACTCCCCATTCCACAACGCAGGCGCACCAGCCCCCCTCGCTGCCTGCGGCGCCTCGCCGTTTGTTCGCGCTCCCACATACACCTCCCGCACGTGCCCCTCCCGCGCCTTCACTCGCACTGCTACGCTCCAACCCGACATCGTACCGTCGTTTCCATGGAGATCACGCCGAGGCGCGCGCCGGTTCTACGTGATACGTCACTGTTTTGAAGGTATATTGGCGTAGCCGGCACCGTGCGCCCGTCCATCCCGCTGAACACCTCGACCGATATGACGCGCAGCGGCAGCCTCATAAGCGCGCCGCCGGGGATACCCACGCGCCGTTGTTGTTGCGGAAGTACGCGCACGCGACGCGCCGCCCCTTATCCCCGCGGCCGCAATCATGTATAACCTGCTTCGCATCACAGCGGCCGCCCCGCGAGCGTGCATGGGTACGACCAGGCGCTGCGCGCCGATTGGGAGGGACACCAAGACGCGGACGGTGGGGTCGGGTCGGGCGATTGGTGGTGCGGGGAGAGCAGAGGCGCGAAGCAGTCGAAGGAAGAGGGGAAGTGCTAGAGGTGCACCCCACCGAACGCCCGACCCGCTGCCCCCTTCTCCGCCCTGTTTCACAGCCAGTCCCCGAGCCCGACCCCCACGCCGTCCTCCACCGCGGGACGAATCCGTCCTCGACCGCCCCGATAGCCTCCGGGTTGCCCCCCAGTCGTTCATGGCAGCGCAAAGCAGAGGCTGAAGTCCTCGCCCTGCGCGGCGGGAACGCGTCGACGAGCTGGTGGGGGGGGGGGGGACGCCGACGCGCGCGTGAATTAGGGCGTCGCGAGTTCGGCGTGGACGTTGGCAGCGCGTTCTCTTCAAATCTCGCGGAGAAGCACAAGCCCATATATGCAGATCGGACCCGATATGGGTGGTGGGATGCGGCGAAGAGCTCGAGGCTGAGAACGCCAATGTGAGCCTGGAGGCAGATTGCTGCGGTTGGGGGAGGGTAAGAGGGAGATGTTCCTCATCTGCGAGGAGGTGAGGGAGCTAGGTGTATTGCTGGGATGGTCGCCGTGAGGCGCGAGAAGAGGATGATCCTAGGAGCGAGGCGAGTCAGTGAGCAAAATGAAGGGAGGCGCAGAAGCAGTAGAGGGAGACCCATACCGTCGTGATACCACCGCCGGGGCTCCTCCTTTCGGGTCGTGTAGGTTATATTTTTGGGGATCTAAAAAATGTACGAAGTCAGATACGCTGTAACAAAAGGGACAACGACAGTGTGGACCTTTGGGGGCCTGTACGTGACACTGACGCTCCACCACGGTCTCCCGTACACTGCGCTTAGCTGTCTCGAGTTGGTCGTACTCTCCGCTTCAAGGAAGCCCTAAAGCGCCGGCGTGCGTACCGCATTTGGGGCTGCTCAGCGACATGTGGAGAGTAAGGCCTTGAGGGCGTCCGTGGGTGTAGAGTATAATCCGAAGAATGCGTCTTGAGACTGTAGCACTTGGGATATAGCAAAGCGCGCCGCCGACGTTGCGCCTATTCGCAAAAGACGCGACGGAGACGGGTTTGCTGGAGAAACGCAGAAACAGGCCCTCCGGTGGCGGCGGGGGTGGATGTGTCCAAAGGTATCCCAGGCGTATCTAGTAGACCTTGCCGGGGATTGGTTATTTCATGGAGCTCGCACGAAATTCCAGAATTTTTTTTTGCCGGAGCCCGCTCTGAGATCGTGGATAACAGGAGTCTTGCGGGTGGTATATCTCCAAGACCAAAGACATGGATGCTCGCTTTGGCGCGTGTAGAGGCTCGTCGATGGTCTGACGAACTGAGGAAGTTTTCATGCTCTCAACACGAAAGCGATGTTTCTGCAAGGCTTCCGAATAGGGCGAGGCGGTTGAGGACGGGACAAAGACCGGTGGGGTCGTGCACAGACGCGTCTAAGGGCGTAAAAGTCCAGACTCCAGACCGCATTCGCTGCCGACTGCTGCTACTTACGGTCGTGACAGTTTCAGGCAAAGACATGGCATGTGACCCAGCACAGCATTTCGGACCTTGTCTCCGACGACAACATCTCCTCGCCGTCGCAGTTTTTCTCTGGGGCCAACTTGCTCAACTTTGGCATTTTTCAACCTGGACGTATTCAAGCACGGGCTGTGCTAAAATAAGTAATTTCTGCTTCTTGAAGATCCGAGACGCTATGCATTAGGAGGCAGAAACTCGTAGGGTCCTCATGCTTCAAAACTACGACTACTTGGCTTCGGTGCTTACTCCCCCGCCGTCTTCAAATTTCTCAACGAGTTTGAATCTCTTGCTGATTTTCTGTGGGCCATTTCAGCCCGCATTCCTATCCGCCTTGCTTCATGGCACGCCAACGATAAATCTACGGTCCCGGTAGCCGTTGAGGCTGAAGCTGCCCTGCAAAACTGAACCTAATTCGGATTCCATTCTCAGTACAGGGCATGCCGAGAATAAAAAAAGTTATCACCTTTGTGCCACGACCCAGGCTCGGTTCGAACGAGCAACGTCAACCCCCGCATCACATACTCGAGAACTGCGGAACGGCAGCGGGTGCGGACCATCCGCCACTGGGTCCTGTACCTCTACAGAGCTTCGTTCTCAAAATCCGTAACTTTTAGACCGCGATTCAACCGAACCGAGTTTTATAGCTTCGCGGCAAATATCAACGCAAAATGGCAAAACTGAATGCATGTGAGTGGATCCAACATCTCTTCGCTGAGAGCCAAACCTTCCCTGCAGGAGCAAAAAATTCCGTCAGAACGACCCATAGCCCAGGCTCGATTCGAACGAGCGATTCTCGCATAGCCTTTGTAGCCTCGTTCATGCAGAGTGGGCGCGGACCATCCACCACCGGGCTATTTCTATAAACACTTCGGACGGGGATATACCAGGACAGAGAAGAACTGGAAGGCGCGAAAGCATCCTCGTCCTTTCGAGATTGACTTTTATTCTTTAGGCAGTATCCGTCACCGCCATGGATCCAACGCACACGGTCGGGTGAAGCAGGCTCAAAAAACGGAACTGACAATAATTTCAAATGCCATACAGTTTGCCTATTATTCCATCGATGTTCTCAACACAGAGCAGGACGGACGAAGATAAAACCATCATTCAATATGCAATAAGGCCTAGGCTCGATTCGAACGAGCAACCCCCGTATGACTATGTTAGACGGGTGCGGACTGGGCCTTTCACCACCTCTGATATTCGTTGTCGATGTGTGCAAAATTCAATACCCAGATGGCATTTTCATCCAAGATTTATACAATATATTATCGATGAGGTCTAGGTTGCTCGGTGTGCATAATTCCGTCTGACGCAGTGCCGCAGGCTCGATACGTGCGAGTAGATGAAGGGTGGGGCATCTCCTCGCTGAGAGCCGAATTTTCCCTGCAGGAGCAAAAAACTTCGTCTTGATGGCTGATAGCCCATGCCCGATTCGAACGAGCGATTTCTGTTTCAGCACAGTTTCGATAGGACTTTCCCCATGCGAAGCGGGTGCAGATCATCTGCAAACGGGCAGTTTCTACACAAGTTGGACGAGGATATGCGAGGAAAGAAGGAAACAGGAACGTAGCTGCCGTCCTCGCCTTCCTTTCCAGGGTAATTTTCATCATTGTTTAGGCAGGACCTCACGGGGTGCATGGATCCAGCGTACTGGGCTAGCGGCCTCACGGAAGTTTCAGCAACAATATGCAGACTACTTCCTCCCCAATGACAATCGGATCTAACTCCAAAAAGATGGGTAACCTCAGTCAAGACCCAGGCAGGATGCGAACGAGCGACCCCGGTATGAAATTCGACCGCCTACATGTTCAGGCTCTAATGAATGTGTTTTATTCTCAAAATGACTGGCTTCGAGATCTCGAGGCCTTGCAAACTGCTACGTCGAGAACGATCTCGACCTCTGGGATTTCCGCTCTCGAGATCTCACAATGATTTCTCCGTGAGTTACTCAAGCAGGGGGTCGAGATATCTGGAGATCGCTGGAGATCTCCCAGTGGAAACTTCGAGGCTTTTGTCCAAGATGGTCCGTCAAATTCATCCTTGGCGATTTCCTGAGAAGTCAAAAGAAAATTCTGAGCCATTGGCAGTGTATTATTCAAACAACATGGAGGAAGTTCATCATACTAAGTATACAGGTTGTGTACCCGGAGCGGGTGCTGAATCTTCGACATACTCACAATTAATCGCGCGACCTGGGAGATCTACATACGTAATGCAAACCGCCAACACCTGCATGATTCCAAAGCAGACCTTCCCAGTCATGCTTGTTTCTGCGGTTAAAAAACCAGCTGGACCGATATACCCACAGAAGGCCAATGGCAGAATCGCGATAGCTGCACCTCCCCGGTAGAACTTGGTTGCGCTAAGTCTGGTTTGCATCATAGCAATGGCAAGACCGGGCACTTGAAAATCGACATGGTAAATTTCCTTCCAATGTGTGGTCAATGGCTTCAATTCCAAGACCTGAAGCTGAAAGCTTGTAGTTTCCGTAAATTCATCGGCACTTGGACTTGTGAACTGTGCTGATATGGAGCCTCCAAGGCTGTCCCGCCACAGCGCCGATTTTTTTCCCATCGATTTCCAGAACTTCTGCACCACCCAAAAAACGGCTTGGGCGTGAAAAGCGTGTCCAATGAATTCGACCACATCTTTGTGGAATTCATCCTGCTCATCCTCACTCCAGCGCCGAGGTCCAAAGTTGTAGACACCCTGGCATGCCCACGTTTCGACGCACTTGTAAGCGCATGAATACGTCAGGATACTTGACTCCTGCATCAATATCAGGACCATGCGTCCCACTTCTGCCGGGTATAGGATGTCTCTAGCAAGTCCCTTGTGCATAGAAAATGACAAGAGGACCACTCGAGCTAAAAAGACCAACATGAGGCTGGCTAAACAGATGGTGAAGCGTGCAACAGAGCGTGCGACGGTCCTGTGCAGGGATCGCTTTGTGACATACACTTTTTTATCGGCAGGGTTCGGTGCCATGATGTACGGGACGAATGATTGGGATAGGTTGGGGGTGAATTCTACTTCGATTCTTCCTGTGTCGTTACTGGCAGCCTGAAAAGCGAGACATGGTTATGGCACTGTCATTTATCATTTAAGTATGGTATACTTACTGGCGACGATCCAGGTTGAGCAAGCGTCCCTTCAACTCTGGTTATCCTGCCCTTCCTCTGAGTCGCAGCGGCCGTGATCCCAGCTACTGAGTTTCGAAAGCTCAGCGTAATTTCATGAGCTGTCGCCCCAACGCGGGTATGGAAAAAGTCCCATACGGGCAGACGCAGAAAATTGTATGGGTTGAGGATCATGTCGCAGATACCGACTAGGAACCCCATGCCTAGGGTATGGTCCATGGACGCTGCCGTAGCTCGCCAGATGGAATCTTGACCAGAGACACCGCCATATGAGCCGCCCTTGATTGGAGCGGTTTGAATAAAGGTGCTGATGACGTGCGAGAAGATTTGTATGAATTGAGCCATTGCCTGTGGGTAGTTGTCAGACACGCAAGACTTGGGGCAAGCAAGAAGATTTTCAGCCACATAATACAGCGAGCACAAAGAATATTTATGAGAGAATCCAAAGCTGTGGAAGGGTGTAAAAGAAGCTGTCAAGCGGCGGTGTGCGAAGAGCTGTGGAGAATCAAGATCCGATGCTGTTGTCGAGCTTCCTTCCTTCCCCGACCACCCCTATTTCCATGGCACAATCTAGAAAAAACTTGACATCCTTATCCAATTGCATGTGAATTTAGTATGCTTCCTACATATCGCCGCGAAGACGCAGCGACGTCCGCAGCCCGTCCTCGTTTAGAACGCCCCGTTTTCGCCACCAACTTCTTTCCGCCTGGCCCTAGTGTTGAACGGCATCCACGTCCATCACTCGGAGATAGCAGAAGACCTCGCAAACGCGCATGGGGATTCATTTTGATTAATGAGTACTTGTATAAGACCATTGAGAAGCCATATATCTAAGTGGGGGAGATGGAGAAAATACCAGGCCAGGCACAATGAAGGCACAGTACTTAATGCAAGAAACCAGTGGGGTAGGGTACGGTACTTTTTGTCACCATATGGCAACAGGAAATTCCCAGCGACGCCGGTGACAGCAACCGACCGACTCGAAATTCCGACACCTTGCCCCCGTGGATCCAATGCGGTGCCCTACGAAGCATTTCCGTAGAGAAATCGTTCGTCGGTCGCGTCGCGTCACCAGGGCTGAGGATAGCAAAATGCAAGAGGTGCGCGATCTCCAGATCTTGATATCCGTTTTCACGATGTAACGAGTCAAGACCGACTTTTGCGAAATTGCACCCAAAAAGGACGGATTTTGGTTGGGCAAATAGCGGCTATCAATACCATCACTCCGTCTCGCTTCCTCTGGGAGTGGGCAACGATCGACCCATCAGTGATTTCTTTGTACATATTGATTGATGCAGTCTCCCCGCCAAAATCCAGCAATAAAACGCCGTCCCGTTTTCTGGAGTCCGGGTGCAAGGTCTAGCAAAACCTAGGAGGCAAAGTGTTCTTAAATGAGCATATCTCAAATCCTGCGGGACCATATTTTTTTAAATCAAAATAGCTTCAAAGTTACATCTGTGGTGAGGCCGCAATCGGACCGCAATATTTAATTCTTTTCCGCAGGATCCGAGATATTGGTCATATATGAGGGGCCGCGGCCGACCGGAACTACCAAACTGGGGTATAAGGGTCTAAAATCCGGCCGCGAGATTCAGGCAATCACCAATTAAACTGCGTGACAATGTGTGACATCACGCGTCGAAATCACCAGCTTTTCATGTACTTCCATATCCTCGGGCCAGTTCTGGCATAAATGTGCTTATATGCAGCTGAAAGAATATAATTCATGCTTTCATTATGTTCCTGAACCTCTGGTGTATTTCAATGAGTGGTACGGACTGATACAGAGTGACGGCGCCTTTTGATGTGGCTGTACCATGATCCATCAGCCCATCAGATTCCCATCGCTGCCCACTCCCACTTCCTCGCTTCCGCCATGCGCCGTTGTCGTTGTCGTTGCGGAAGTACGCGCGCGCCGCCTCGTATCCCTGCAGCCGCATCCATGTGTATCCCGCTTCGCACCACGCCCAGTGGGACGAACCGCGGCTGCATCGCAAGCGTGTATGATGAGTAGGACCAGGCGCTGCGCACCGGATGGGAGGGACGCGAAGACACGGGCAGTGGGGCCGGGCCGGGCGATTGCTGGTGCGGGGAGAGCAGAGGCGCTTTCCCGGAGAAGCATTAAGAAGAGGGGAAGTGGGAGATGCAGCACCCCCCACCCCAACGCCCCACGCGCTGCCCCATCTCCGTCCTGTTTCACGCCCAGTCCTCGAGCCCGACCCCCACGCGGTCCTCCACCTCGGGACGAATCCGGCCTCGACCGCCCCGAGAGCCTCCGGGTTGTCCCCCAGTCGTTCATGGCAGCGCAAGGCAGAGGAAGTCCTCACCGCCCGGCGCAGCGGAAACACGTCGAAGAGCTAGAAGGTGCGGATGCCGTGCGCATGAATTGGGGCGTCGCGAGCTCGGCGCGGATGTGGGCGTGGACGA